GCTTCGGCTAATGCTAAAAGTATCTTTTCCACGTCTTCCTTCTTTCCGCGTAGGCAAAATCTCCGTGGGGTCCCATTCCCGTGGAGCCGTGGTTCTCAAGGCTAAGGGAGCGGGATGATGGTGAGCTGGACAGTAGGGATGCCTTATTCCCGACCCACTAGGCATTGATTCCGATTGCATCTTGGCCGTTCCTTTGCATCTCACCTATAGTGGCCCACTATATACTACTTTTCAAGGAGGCTCCAGGATTTCAATCTAGCGGCACAATTCACATTCTCACTTTTGCACCACGCTTTGCCTCGTACCTCATTATCACCCAATGATATTTACTTTTTTATTGTTATTTTAATCTTATAAAGTGAATACAATGATAGTTCACACCTCCTTTTTCTATTTTTGTTCATAAATTATGTTTTTCATTACATTCAGTTGTAAATATTTGTGTACTCCATGCTTTGTGTGCATGTTAATAATAATAATAATAATAATATAGAAAAATGTAAGGAATTTTTTTGTGGAGTTTCCCTTGCAATGGAGATGATCTACAAAGTGTGTCTTCAATCTTTCATTCCAAAACTCAGCATTTATCTGGAAAAAATAAATGTATTTAATATAGTAATAACAATGTAATGCTTGTGATTTGGGGAATGAGAATTCTAGGAATGGTAATGTGCTCTTTTTTGATGTGGCATGAAGCATGGAATATCCATCTCCAATTCCTTAAAGGATTCCAGTACTAAAAATTTAATGAATGATGGTTTGTAGTCTTGACACTATTAGTGTTCACACTTGTAATTCATAAAAATATGATTAAATGTAAGAAGAATGATAGAGAAAAATGAGAGTCTTTAGCTTAACACATGGATTTCTAAAGCCCTTTGAGCTGTGACGATGTCACATGATTAAAATTTAATAAAGTTTGGAAAAAGAGAAATCAAAAGGTTATATGCATGGTAGTAACTTGGTTGTCATTGTCATAAGGAAATATTTCTGAATCACATCAAATATTTATGTGTTGCAAGCATAAGAATCAATTCCTGTCTCTAGTAGATGTATTATCGCTTTTGAAACATTTGTTTTAGTTAATAAGTTGTGGCTGGGTACTTCACGTATAAATTCTTGATACATTCAATGAAATAAAAATCTTCTAAAATACCCACATATATGCTGATTAGAACTCCTAAAAAATTAAAATTTTGATGTTCAACTTCATTCCAAAATTATTTTTTTTTTTAAAAAACCTGGACAAAATTGGTCTTTGAACCAGTGTTCGAATTTCAAATGACAAAAGGATCTAAAGTTAATATTTTAATTGGTCCATAGTTCTTTCCCACAAATCCGAGTGACAACAAAAATAGTAATAAACTTAATTTGTGGTCAATGATCAGCTTAGTGCTTCATTTTGATACTTTTCATGAATTGTTCAGTTGTGTAGAGAAGAACACATGGTGGTTATACTACCAAATACCTATTGCTGAGCATAATGTACGTTTTCCCAAAAAACCATTTGAATGACAGTTTCAGTATTTGATTGTTTAAATATTACATCAAAAAAAAAAAAAAAAAGAAAAAAAAAGTCTGTACTACAGCATTGTTTTTGTTATCAGAAAAATATAAATATAAATAAACTCCGACAGGTCATTCTAACGTCAAAGAACCCTACCAAGATCTGAAGTTCTACTCCTCTTCTAGCTGAACATAATTCAAATGGTTCAAACAATAAGAGCACCAATATTTGTCAATGTCCACTTGCCACCAATAATTTTACAGTTTTAACAAGTAAAACCAAATTCCAAACAGGTTATGACAACTAATGGTTGAGTATTCAATTACGGCATGTTTTATAAATTAAGATAGAGTAGCATGGGTGAAAACCTACGTAAAAGCATATGTTTTAAAACACGACTTTTTGAATAAAGAAAATTGAATACACAGAATGCTAATTACATAGCATCAAAATATTTAACCACGATGGGTACAATTCTTGTAAATTATAATCAGTGGTTGACACTTGGATAACACAAGCTGCATGCATGTCCCACAATTTTCCCACGATGCAATTTCTCAACTGTGTAATTTTCTTCTCAACCTTATCTCCAAAATCAACTTATCTTCCACTAGCAATTCAAAGTGATTCAAGTTTGACTAAAATCTCACCACAATTACTTGTGTAGACCCCAATAACTACCCATTGTTGAGACAACACATTACCATTTTGACATCTTGAGAAGGGGGCATTGAGCATTGTTTATGGAGGTGCTTTCGACCAATGAAAGCCTATTGTACGTATATTTATAATCTGTGAAGGTGGAGAACTTGGAAGTAGGAGAAATTACAGAATGGTATCCCATTGCAAATGCACCAGCAAGGCAACATTAGATCAATTTGAAGTGCAAGGGTGAGGCAAGTCACAGAAAAAGTCTACAAGTGGCCATGTTCGGATAGAAATGAGGGCTTTGAGACCAAGCTGGTACTTTCCTGAATCCAACATATGGTGGTGGGTGTCCCTGGCCCAGAAAAAAGTAGAACCTCTATTCCATGTGTACCCTAATTACACCATTGCTTTAATTTGGAATGAACGTTGACAAAGTGCACCAAATCCCAGCAGAGGAAACTACAGTGTTTCTAGTACGAGAAACCATTGATAGGAAAAGAAACGTCGGGAGAAAAGGAAAAGAAGCTGAGGAGCAGTAGGGTGGCAAGTTCTGAGTTGACTATGGGGGCTGGAAAATTATTTTTGTTTAAATTAGGACAGATGGACTTGGATCTCGCATCACCGATTTCAGCCAGAGTCACATCGGCAATGTGCAAATTTTCTATTCTGGAGCAGAAGGATCCGACAGGGAGTCCATTTTCCTCACTCCTTGTAGAGTTAGAGGTTTATGCCTGTCAGCAGGAGGTGGCCGTTGACCTTTCTCCATTCGTCGGAGAAGCTAATGTGAACTGTATTGTTGTTGGATGTTCACTTATTTTTTCCTGACATGGAAACAAGTAGCTAAGTCAACCCATTGATAGGATCGTTTGATTTAAGGTTCGTCGTCATGGAACTCCTTGCACCACTACCAGGCATTTCAACACCAAATTGAAATCATACAAACTGGTTTTCGAGAGTTCGCGCATGTGTGAGTGGCCCCACGAATCAGGTTCACCCTCAGTACAACACCTCGCTTTTATTACTTCAATACTGATCACTCATTCGGGGATTTGGTTTATAAATATATACATATCAACGTTATATTGGAAACTGTTGTATCAACACTCGCTTGTGGCTAAACATGTAAATCCCACGTCGAGGAAAACTGTACTCAGCGGTCCATGATTTACCCTGTTCAAGTGAAAGGTATACTCACCTACCCAATTTGAACAAATTCCAACTTCCTTTGATTTGATTATTTACAGACTACCTCTTTATTTTTATTGGGAAATATTGATTTGGTGGATTGGCCATTCATCATCTTTCTCAAACGTACACGCCCTTTGTTAGGAGATTCAATATCCAAAATGAAATATGCGGCACTCTACTAAACTTGTTTTTAATAATTAGAAGGTATTTTGTAGAAATGAAACTGAGTTGCACGATTGTAAGACTATGAACATTTCATCTCGTGCTGGAAAGAAGATAGAACAGCAAAATAATCGAGATTGACATTCCAGATGCAACGGATAAACACTAGAAGGCTGCTCCTGACCATGTTTGTGTTTATGGCACATGTTTGGGTTCCAGGCCTGTTAACGAGTTACATGCATGACCGTAAAAGTGGGCGCCACCATACGCATAGTGGACCCCTAAGAATGCATCTAAAAGTGGAGTTGACCATCAAAGACTCAGTTTGAATCATTCGGTATCTGCGGGGCACACAATCATAAAGGCAACCGCTACCCTCTTTGACCTGCCTGGAGTTTCACTTTCTACACGTCGAACATCCCGGCTTGTAAGTCATACTCTCTATTCATAGAAACTACCACCAGTCCTTCTTTGTAATCGGGCTGACGCCAGTGTGGTAACATATTTTAGCTCATAGTCCACATTTGGATCTTGTGGTAATTATACCCGCTAAACTGATAGATGACTGCGTTACCCACCTCCTTGCTGCAAGCCACAAGGCCGTAACACAGGGGAGGACTGCACAGCATCATACCATGTTATATCTAGTGCTAAATAGTGCCTATCATAATCACGATTAGTCCAATCTATTTTCCTTGTTTTCCGAAGTGGTTTTATGGTTTTCCTACTCGGCAACCACTGCTGCTTCATCAGGCCCAAGCAAATTGACTCAACTATAATTCTCGATTGTCAAGGATGTGGGTGGATAAGAATCTTTTCCATAATATGAGTTGGTGTGTGTTTGGAGATACTCTGAGTGTTAAAAAATGAGATCAAGATAATCCAATCCGGGGTCAACAATTTTAGCCTCATATTAAGAGAGCTCTATGAGGCTTGCATTGGCTTTGGAGAACTTTCACAGGTAGTAATTTTGGGGTCCTTTCTTGTCGGCTCTCCATCAAAATCATAAATTGGGGATAATTCACTCCTGAAGATATTCCTTCTGTCAATAGGGGCGGCAAGTAGGGGGGGAATAGGCAAAGGAAAAAAGGAAAAAAACGAAAATAATGAAAAAAATATGATGTGGGTCAATCCAATAGTGATACCTTTGAAGACCACAACAGATAATATTACAACAACTACAGGAACTATATTATTTTAAGAAGACATTCCAACAGGACTCATCCCATCATATTTCTAGTAGAACAAAAAAGACTTCATACTCCTCACCGAATATGTTAGCCTCTCTAGATAGAAAACACATGGTATGCTTTTATTAGTTACCCTTCCGACTATGACGCTGAATGCTATTTATCTTCCATGTCTGATGCACATTATAGAAGCTCCTGAGAGAAAAGATCGTGGAAGTTGGTTACTCGGATACATACAAGGGAAGTCTTTCAAGGGTCAAAGTCTGAACCCAGTCATGAAGGCCTGCCTAACTACTCGCCAGATCGCTAAAGCAAAAAAGAATACGCCAACTACCTCTAGCCAACTAGCTCTTTAGTCTCGCAACTTGTGTGTGGACCACCCCTTGCCTTCCTGCATTGCTATACCGCCCACTTAGATCTCTCTGTGCCTTCCTCTGTGGAGATCTCTTTAGTCTGGAACGTCTTCTTCACGAGCGCTAGCTTCAGCCTCTTAACTGATCTTGTCTCGAACGTGGACTAGGAAGGAATCAACAAGCACCTTGGAGATTGTACAAGTTTATGACGTACACCGCTTTCTAGCGAGGTTTGAGAGGTCTGCAACTGTATTTGGAGAAGGATCCGTTGCGGTTGTGCAAGCACCTGTAAGAGATACTGAAGAAGGCAGAACATGTTTGGAGATTTACGTTGATGTCGGAAGAATTCTTCAGGCGTGATGTCAGGGGAGACTAGGAATTTTAGGTACCTGGGTAAAGATTTCGAGCTGAAGCGTTAGATGATCTAAACTTGTTCGTTTTTGGACCAACAAATAACTGCCTTTGGACAGGATCACTTTGACCCTGGCAGCAGCAGGGAACGAAGAACTGGTTTGTAGTCAGTGAATTGAAGTATGGGTACTTCCAACGCTGAGAGTGGTGACAAGGAAGCCGCAGGTAGATTTGACACTATGATCATGGCTGCCGTAGTAGAAGAAAAACATCTGAAGAAAAGCAGTGGGAGAGTCGATATGGTTAGCAGGATAGATTTGTCAGTGAAACTCGACGAAGACAGTCTAGGTGAGGACGAGGAAATGGAAATTAGTGAACCCGAGGAAGATAGTCGTACAAGGTCGGACCATCACATGACCAACATGAAAGACGAGGAAGTCAGTAGTCCCCAACCTAAGTTGCAACTTGGCCCACAACAATACCATGAAAATAGGCATGCGTTTAAATGCGAGGTTAGAGGTTGTGTAAGCGTCTTCAGAGACAGAACTCAGTTAGTTAATCACAGTTTGGTGCACCGGGGCACCAGCGGTAGTGAGCGCTCGACGTTGGAGGACGAGTCTCCGCCAGCGTCGACCGCGGGTCTCACAGCTTCTGAGGCAAATCAGCTCAAGAATGAGGTAACTCACCCGTCTTCGATTTCCGAGACTGTTGACCCCTTTGAGTGGTGAATGCTTGTTTGTTGCTCGCAATGCAACACTTAACTATGTAATTAGTTGGATTCAAAAAGTCCCTCAGCTTGGAGGTTTTGCTTTCTTTAATCTGGTTAAAGCAACTCACTGTCCACTGTACGAAATGCAGTTGTTAGTATCAAGGGCGGAAATCACGCGCCTCGTTGCAGAAAACGAGAGGTTCCGATCCATGTTGACTCATCTCACTTCGGAGTATCGAAACCTTCAGATGCATATGGTGACTTCCATGCAACGCCACAGCGACACTGTGAACTATCCAGTTCAAAGTCCTACGGCACAGGTATTCACTTAAACCTTTTTGTTCCAGCTCCAGCTCGACTCTGTGCAGTTTATCGCAGTACTCAATGGAATTCTCAGAGATGTTTGAATGATGTGAGTCAAAAACCTTTCTTCTGTAGTCTAGTTAGATCTGATCGTCGCTAGTTGGATCGCCTTATGTTGAATTTGCTCCACGGTTCTCAAAACAGAGGTAATTTGTCTTTTATTTCAGAGTGCTTCTGTGACGCCAGCCAGTTATGAGGCATCCCTAAAGGGCTCCTCAGATAGGGACTCTAAACACCATCGAGGGAGTCCCCCCAAGTCTCCAGCTCGTGAACAGACTTCAAAACAGTCGAGTGGAACGCACCTTCAGTATGATCGAGTACAGAAAATCGAAGACATAAGTGTTGGCACAACTTCACGGCCTGGAAGCGGAACATCATCTCCTACTAGGTCACCGACCGCACGGTCGCATCCTACTTCGCCGTCGCAGGAAGCTGATCATCTCCAGGAGAGGGCATCAGATCAGAGTGAATGGCAAGCTAACAAAATCCAGAAGGCCACGCACACCGACGTCCACACTGCTTTGCCCATCTCTCAAATCGAGGCCGATCCCATCGTCAGGAAGGCTAGAGTATCTGTCCGAGCTCGGTCTGATGCTCCAACGGTACGTTCCTGTCCTTTTCATAGAACCCTTCTCTACACGCTTTTAAAATTCAGCACCGGATTCAGTGCTTTTCATCGTTAAGGTTTAATCGGGTCCCATGATCTCACATGATGATTTATCTGTTTTAGATCAATGACGGATGCCAGTGGAGGAAATATGGTCAGAAGATGGCGAAAGGGAACCCCTGTCCTCGTGCATACTACCGATGCACCGTTGCGCCGGGCTGTCCAGTTCGTAAGCAAGTAATGTCTCATCTTCCAGCTTGTTATGGATTAATTTGATGTCAATCTACTTTGACATTTTTCATAAATTTTGATTATGATTTTTCGTGTGACTTACGGCCTTCCGTCATGATCCGCAGGTGCAAAGATGCGCCGACGACATTTCAATTTTGGTCACAACCTACGAAGGCACCCACAACCATCCACTGGCACCGGCTGCTGCAGTAATGGCATCTACAACTTCGGCCGCAGCGTGCATGCTTCTTTCAGGCTCCACCACCAGTGACATGAACCATATGACGACTGCACCGCAGTTCATTCAGTTGGCAGGTCCCCAAGGGCAGAACACCACTGCTTTACCAATAATCTCCGCCTCTGCTCCATTTCCAACAATCACCTTGGACCTGACGAGCAATCCTACGACACAGTTGAGTCTCAGACTTAACAACAGCTCGGGCGCTACACCCTCAAACTTTCAGGGTGAAGCTATTGGTGGGGTTACCGTTGCTCAAAGTGGTGGCCAGCAAGTGATGATGGCCCCGCAACAGCCCGTCACAAGGAGCAACCCAATATTCTTCAACAACGGGATGACATACGCACCCATGGTTGCAAACTGTGCACCACTGTCGAATTCGGGGAGTGCGTTTGCCTCAGAAGGCGCATCGAGCGATCACCAAGCTATGCAATACCACCACCCTGTGGTGAATTCAGCCGCCGGTAGGACGTACGGAGAGAACCGGCAGCAAGGCACTCATACACCGGCCAATTCACTTGCTTCGAATCACTGCTCAGCCACACAGTCTCTCGCCGAGTCTGTGACTGCAGCAACAGCTGCAATCACATCCGACCCTAGTTTCACCGCTGCTCTGGCTGCTGCGATCACGTCCATCATTTCATCGCAAAACTGTCAGAATACGCCAAATAAGCTTGCTCAGATGACATCAAACCAAACGAAGGAGGGATACCAGCAGAGCACATCATCGACACCATCAGCTTTTACCGCAGTTGGTGCAAGTGGGTCTCTGAGGGTTGAAGGTGGACGAGTTTCTCCTTCGAGGGTGGTTCCTGGAGAGGCTGCTCTCTCCAGCATTCTCACTTCGGCCTTGATGTCCCTGAACGCCAAGGACCAGCCCTCGAACGGGATGGTCCAGTTCGTAAAGCCCTCGGCTTCGCATAGCTCTTTGGTCGTGGCAGACACAGTACATCCATGATACTCGCAGCTAAGGAACAAAATTTCAATTGTAAATGAGGATTAGGTTTGGTTTACAGATTTTAGGGAGGGATTTCTTCACTAGAGGTTTTGACTAGTTTCAGAGCACCTCGGCAGCCCAGCTGCGCACGAAAGTTTTGAGGGTGATTGTTGGACTCTGTTCAAGCTTGTAATTATGGTCACAGAACCGATTCCAACTTTACCGAAATTCTTTCATGGGCAAAGTTCATGCACAGGATTTTTTTGCAAGAGGCTGAGGTTCCATGAAACAATGCGATGGATCGTACGACACGTCTCTGTATTTATAATACACAATTCCATTCTTCTTAATTGCCACGTCTATGCACTTAGGTCTGCTTTACAGCCAAACCATCCACTCAATTGATGTGTATGCGGGCAACAAGCTCATTCTGCAAGGAGTAGTTTGAAGTCTAGATTATTCATGACGACGGTTGACGAGCAGTGTTCTGGCTACGAATGACGGGGTTCCTAGTCGAGGTCCACACGGATTTTCTTTTCTCGCAAACGAGCATTTTTTTGGACATGGAAGCAATCAATTTCATTGCAAGTGTCGAGCCGCATGTTTCGCAGATAGTAACTTAAAGCGTCACTGTGGTCTGTGATCACGTCATTTGTTGCTGGATAACGCAGGTAATACGCAAGACGACTATACAGTGCGATGGTACTGACAGAATGCTTTTTTGCTGACTTTCAGAGACTTGGTTCATTCCTCCGGACTTCCAGGAGTTCTCGGATTCGTCTGAAACGTGGAGACTCATCGGTAACTCAAGTACGTAAAGTCACTACAAATTCACATTAGTGTACCGAAAATGTTTCTCCGCACCCCCTACAGACGGCATTTACGATGGGGCACGTTGAATTCCGATTGTTATATATTTCGAATGAAAGCATCAAGATGCTGTCTCCTTAATTGGACCCATGTTTGTCACATCGCCCTCCGAATCATTGTTAGTATTTAACCATCGCATGAAAAGTGGGATTGATGTGGATGGAACCCATATCTTCCGATGGAAGTCCCAAAAGAAACACTTTTTGATACATGCTTCCTAGGCTATAGTTAGCTCATACTTTCAATGGACTGGTGGCACAAATTCATCATACTTTCTCTTAGACCACCTGGACTTCCCCCAAATGTGGACTTTTGCTTTATTCTGAATGGCACAGAAATTAAAGCTTTATTCGAGATAAGTTTATGCTGAACCAAGACCCATGTGCTTGTTTAGAATCATTGTGTCTAATAATGGATAATCCTTGTCCGGTATCGAAATCCTGGTGTTTCAATCACCGTAATATCAGCCAACAGGACTGAACTCTATCTCGATCTCGATTCCAGGATTTGTGCTCGAACCCCTTGAACCGAGTTAATCTCACCTGGTCATGGTCTCAGGAGCTCCTACACGAGAGGATCTGGACGATGTGAGTTGCCTCCGACCTCGAAGTGCGCGCAGGGAGGGTCCTCGTTCATGTTTGCGCCGGTTCTACAAGCCATGTTCTCGGCATTCTAGCTTCAGCTTGTGAAATTTCGCCAGACTTATGATTGTTCACAGAACTCTTCTCCATAGGAGACAAAGGGGAGGCACATTTGTCATCCAAACCTCCGGTCGATCTCGCACAGATTATTCTTATGATTCGTGCATGAATAGAATTCCGTTGTCTCGACCACAGACATGGAATAGAAACTTGAATTCAGTTATATGGGTCAGCAGTCAATGATGGATTTAGTGCAGCCTTCTTTCTTTCAAAAAGGCTGGTGGAATGCTCATCACATACTTTTAGAATGAGATCGCCCAGCTAGTCGTCACGAATAATATGATTAAAGATGAATTAGTCATTGACCTTTGGTACATCTAACTTGATTATCAAACCATAGTTGGATTAAAGCCACAATCTTCTCAACAAAGATTACAGGTTGTCAAAAGCACAAAATAGTCATTGCGTGCGTGTGTATCCATATTAACATTATTATTATTATACTTCTCTGATTCAAGTAGATAGTATCCACATGGCATTATGTTTGTATCATGCCTCGAATAGCAGGACGATCAACTCATAACACTCATAATTAGCAAATTAGCGAATAATTTCTGCAGCAACTGAGTGGAAACAACCCAGGAAAATGCTTCTCAGATCCCTCCAATCCAACAGAGGACTCTCTGCTCACTCACGCCGAGGTGCTCATCCGTTCAGTCAAAGGAAAAAAGTGATTCGTTTTCATTTTCATTTTTTATTTTCATTTTTTATTTTATTATAGAGGATTAACGAAAGAATTTAACAGGACTGTTTTTGTGTCATAGTAGAGCTAGATCCAATGGTTCTGTTTGTGTCATCGTATATTTTATAATCTTGGTAAATTACAGCATTCAAGTTTTAACTTCTAAGCAAATAAAGAAATATCTTTTTTTCATATCATACGAGCGAATACAACTTTAACCGCAAGAACGAAAAGAAAAAGACGAAATTAAAAGAAAAACGCACAATCCTTTTTATAACGACACTCAAAAAAGAAATAAGAATAATAACATAAAACTCTTTGTTTAATGGAAATTGCACATATTTGGCAAGATCATGTCCTTCTCTAAATAAAAAATCTCTTGAATCTCATATGAAAAATTCAATACCTCAACATTTATTTATTTATTTTATTTGTTTGTGTAAAAGTAATGGTGTTCATTAATAATCCAAGGTACAAACTAAGGTCCCTAATAAGTTACTTGATGGAGTATATGATGGGTGACAATCTCTAGGGACAAAAAGGCAACCTTTTTCCTTAAAAAATGTTGTTTTTGCACTAAGTGTTAATAAATTTATCTAAAATTATTTGCTTCTTGGCTTCACTACACTTATTAAAATAACTAAAACTATGGTTTCTTGTCACTATATTAATATAGATCATATTAAATTAGGCTAAGTGGATAAAATTATAAGATGTACTACTAAATATGATACTATATCTAATACATGGAATATGCTAAAAAATTACACAACATAAGATATCTTCAACTGGATTAAAAAGCTTGTCTATAAGGATATGTGTCATAGCCATGCAAGAGCTAGGTGATACCTTTGATAGAATATTTTTTGACAACAATGTGGATGGTTTATCTAGGACTTTTCAGATTGGTTAAAAAAAATGTCAAATGTAATGTGTAAATACAATTAGAGAGACAATATTCTACTATTTTATTTTGGTCTGTAGTTGCAGTTCTTACAACTATTAGGATAGCCCATGACTATACTCCAATTTCTTGTAGGTAGTTTCTAATATTAACTTACTATAGAAAGTGTTATAGTTTAGTTAGTTTTTGGATGTACCAAATGAATTTGAATGATGTATTGTTTTTGATAATAAATAATTTGGATTTTTTTATTTATTTTATTTTATTTAATTTGGTCTCCAAGCAAATTCTAACAAATTTTATTGTATGTAAGATGTTGTAGTCTAGTTTGGTAGAATAATTAAAGAAATTGATTCAAGAAAGAGGTGGTAAATGTTGTCATTTCCATTCCTATGAATTGAAGGATAGGGAGGTGACAAAGCCCATTATTCATACAACTCTTTAGTAGGCTGATTTTGGAATGCCAATTATAGTGCATAAATTGCTAAAAGATGTGACAATTTGTATTTGTTTGAGATGTAGGCTTGTATTATATATAAGTAGTGTGGGACTGTAACAAAAATAATTACAATCTTCTAGAAGAAACTAAGTTTTATATTTAAAATTTTATAATTGAAATAAAATATTAATATTTTCATTTTCTATAGCCATAGCAACTCATTCAAAAGCCACAAAATTTGGATGTTGAGCCATATATTAATTTTTTGGTAGAAAGTGTTATGTTTCCAATCTTTGTTGTTTCATACTTTGGATCTCTATAATTTGTATAACTTCATCTAACATTTTCTAGCTTCCTCTATGTCTGTCCAATAAATCTTGAAGGTTAAGAGAAGCCTTTCTTCATCCTTATATTTCCATATAAGTAGAGAATGTTGGCAAGAATTCAACCTTCTAAATCAAAGAAATTTTTATTCCAAAACATATTTTATAAATATGTAGAAATTACATTGGTAGATTGCTTGAAGATTAAGGCATGCCAAATTTGTATCCATGCTTTTTATATTGCATTCTATAGGGCTAAGCCTCTTCTATGAATTGATGTAGTATAAAAGATGAAATGGATATAAGCAAGCTATGTATTTCATTTTTTGGATTAGATAGAATAGAAGCATTGTTTGATAAAGAGCTTCTATGGAGCTCGCCTTGGCATTAGGCCTCAAATAAAAAGTTCAACCAAGAAGGCTTGTATTTACATCCAAGGATTAAGGAGTTACAACCCTCCCATTTTAAATGGTTGTATAAAAACATCCCTTGCCATCTTGGCTCTATAACTTTGTTTTCTAATTTATTTGGACCATATATAATTATAAATTAGAAATTTAACTTTGTTGACCATTTGTAAAAGAAGTGACTAGTAAAAAACTACATACCAAATTAAGGCCAAAAAAGCATGATTTGGAATCAATACACAACATATCAAAGGAAATTTTGTAGTATTTCAATAAAAGAGCTTCTTCTGAAATGATTGCTATATTACTTTGAAGCAGTCATTCAAAAATATGTTATAGCTTGGTTATTTTGCTAGGACCAACCAATATATATTATTTTTAGAGCTCTATGTAAATAGTATCAAGGTTGGCACAACTTAAATAGGTGTAGATTTATTCTAATTAGTTTTTAAGTTAATCTAATGGATAAAAATGTTGAAAGTTGTTTTGTCCTTTCCAACTTTAGTACTTGTTAGATATAAGGTAGTGTTATCTAGAAATTCTTAGTCTGATACTTAAATATAGTTATTTGAAAGTTTGATTTGTATTATGCAATCATTGCTTTCTAATAAATAATCTAAGAAGTCAATAATAAATATGTAAAAGAAAGAAGCAAATGGACAACTTTGGTAGATGCATCAAGTTAGTTTGAAAGAATTGCTAATAAGATTGTTAGGATCTATTGAATACTAAGAATCTTTGTATAATGCCTTTATTCAATCTATCTATTAAGAATCAAAACCTATTTCTTTCATTATTTCTTCAAAGAAATTCCATTCTACTAAATCATATGTTTTTTCAAAATCAAGCAAAAGCATCAATAATTATTATTGAGATTTTACTATTTAATCTATCATTTTAAAACTAAAAATAATAGTATCAATTATGTTGTGACTTTTGAAAAATCTAATTTTGTAGATTGAATGAAGTCACTAAATCAAGATTGAATAAAGTTTTATAGTAGTAAGTAGCCTAGGATGCAATT